CAGTCGACTTGACTGGCCTGATCTGATCCCGCTCCGCTCTCTCTCTGTCTCTCTGTCTGTCTGTCTCTCTCTGTCTGTCTCTCTCTCTCTCTCTCTCTTGCTCTCTCTGTTCGCTCTCTCTCTTCCTTTCTCTCTCTCTTTCTCTTCTCCTCTCTCTTCCTCTCTCTCTGTCTCTTTCTTTCTGTCTGTCTTTCTCTCTTCCCCTCTTTCTTCCTCTCTCTTCCGCTCTCTCTCTCTCTTCCTTTCTGTCTCTCTTTCTCTCTTCTCCTCTCTCTTCCTTTCTCTCTGTCTCTTCTTTCTGTCTTTCTCTCTTCCCCTCTCTCTTTCTTCCTCTCTCTTCCGCTCTCTCTCTTTCCTCTCTCTCTCTCTTTCTTTTTCTCTTCCCCTCTCTCTCTCTCTCTCTCTCTCTCTCTCTGTCTCTCTCTCTCTTCCTTTCTCTCTGTCTCTCTTCCTCTCTCTCTGTCTCTCTCTTCTCCTCTCTCTCTTCTCCTCTCTCTCTCTGTCTCCCTCTCTCTTCCTCTCTCTCTCTCTCTCTCTCTCTCTCTCTCTCTCTCCTCTCTCCTCTCTCTCTCAACTCTCTGAGGTGATCAGCATGATTAGTGAAATATATTACAGTAAAAATCAAAGCTGGGTAAGTTGCTGATTTTAATGGTGGAACAGAAACAAAATGTACAGTGTGAAGGCTGTGAATGTGTTTACTGTCTGTAGAGGGTCACACCTGTTAACGTAAGCTAGAGTCCAGGGAGCTGATGGGCAGCAGGTCTCACTAAAATTACATTATTAATTGAGTAATCTACTCATAATTTTGACTCAGTTTTTTCTCTTAAATGTACTTAATGAAACAGTAACAGCCTCTGCTCAGCCTTTCAGGCATCCTAAAATACGTTATTGGAAACAGATAAACTGGGAGGTCTTATATAATCATCTAACCATGAAACACATGCAGTGTAATGTAAACCTTGTTCCTCAGCTCACAGACAGGTGTGTGAGACTGTGATCAGTCTCAGCTCTCAGAACTTTAGCTGTAGCATTTTTCTGTACAGATTATTTCCAGTGATGTAGTCGAGTAGCTCAGAAATATGTTCAGGTTGTGACGGCAGAAATACGAAAAAGTAACTAAGTAACTCAGTACTTAAGTAGATTTTAAACGAACTACTCATTTACTCTTACTTGAGTAATTTTATTTACTAATACTTTTACCAATTATCACTATAGCAACAGTACTTGTACTTGAGTAGGGATTGAATTCCGATCTGAGCGTCACATTAAGGTCGCATGGCCACAAATCGGATATGTATCCGATCTAGAACCACATATGAAAGTGGCTCAGGTCGGATTTGAAAAGATCAGATTTGTGTCCACACAGCCCTGAAAACATCAGATCTGAGCCTACGTTCACATTACAAGCCTCATTTCTCAAATCCAATTTTTCTCAAATCCGATCTCTCTGACAGGATGGTTCACACTCGTTTAGGTAAGAGACTCAAATCTGTCCTTAATGTGACGAACCGGCGTCCTGAAATGACCCTCATGAACACATCCTACTCAGTAACGTCACGTGAATGAATCACGTTCATCATCAGCACAAACTAACGAGCAGAACGAGCTTCGCTGAGATCACTAACTCTGATCAGCTCTCAGCTTCATTATTAGAGCGAGACGAAGGAGAAAAAGGTGAGATGAGCTGCTTTTCCACCGTTTACAGGCTTTAACTTCTGTTCGGCGCTGCTGCCATGGTAACGCTGAATGATGGCGCAGCGCAGTGGAGAGAAAGCACATGAATTCCGATCTGAGCGCCACATTAAGGTCACATGGCCACGAATCGGATACGTATCCGATCTAGGACCACGCATTAAAGTGGCTCAGGTCGGATTTGAAAAGATCAGATTTGTGTCCACACAGCTTTGAAAACATCAGATCTGAGTCACATTAGGGCAAAAAATCGGATTTGTGCCGCTTCACGGCACTGGACAGATGTTTAGACACAATTGCTGTTTATTTGGTGAATTTAACATTTTAGGGAAAAAAAATAAAAGGTAAAATGTTGCCTGTGGAAAAGTTATGGCACATTTTTTCATGTTTTATTTTTTTCCCCAATCAGTTAAACTCAGCAAATAAACAGAAATGGTGAACTGAAAGATGCTGAAAATGCCATATTTAAGTGTATTCCCTGTAGATGATGTGTTAAAATCAACAAAACATGTCATTTGACCTGGGGGGGGTTCAAAGTTTTGCATAACTTTCATAAAGTAAAGAAAAATGTAAAGCAAAGAAGTTGGCAGTGTGAACACAAATACTGCCAAAGTAGTAGTTCCAGCAGCTTAGTGTGAAGCAATCAGTGTTGTTACTTAGCAACCGGTGGTCACCAGAATGATGCAAGTAAAAAAAAGATTTAAAAAATAAATAAATACTTTTAACAGATGCAACAATATCAAAGTGTGTGGCTGGAATTAACTGTGATATAATTTATTATGATAATTTACGCCGATCAGGCATAACATTATGACATATTCTTCAGTGGTCAGGACCCCCATGGACCCTCACAGAGCAGGTACTATTGGGTGGTGGATCATTCTCAGCACTGCAGTAACGCTGACGTGGTGGTGGTGTGTTAGTGTGTGTTGTGCTGGTCTGAGTGGATCAGACACAGCAGTGCTGCTGGAGTTTTTAAACACCTCGGTGTCGCTGCTGGACTGAGAATAGTCCACCAACCGAAATGTCCAGCCAACAGCGTCCTGTGGGCAGCGTCCTGTGACCACTGATGAAGGACTAGAGGATGACCAACACAAACTGTGCAGCAGCAGATGAGCTATCGTCTCTGACTTTACATCTACAAGGTGGACCGACAAGGTAGGAGTGTCTAATAAAGTGGACAGTGAGTGGACACAGTGTTTAAAAACTCCAGCAGCACTGCTGTGTCTGATCCACTCGCACCAGCACGACACACACTAACACACCACCACCACACCAGTGTTACTGCAGTGCTGAGAATGATCCACCTCCCAAATAGTACCTGCTCTGTGAGGGTCCATGGGGGTCCTGACCACTGAAGAACAGGGTAAAAGGGGGCTAACAAAGTATCAGAGAAACAGATGGACTACAGTCTGTAACTGTAGAACTACAAAGTGCACCTATATAGTAAGTGGAGCTGATAAAATGGACAATGAGTGTAGAAACAAGGAGGTGGTCATAATGTTATGCCTGATTAGTATATCATTCCTCTTCCACCATAGCATCTCATTCTAAAGCTGGAAAGACTAAGAATTTGATTCTAGTAACACAAGACCCTCCTATCAATATACATACAGAGCTTCTGACCTTCCCACCACTAGTGATGTAAACACTGTCCAGTTTATATAATAATAAATAACACAATCAGTTTCTCTGCCTCATACAGAAGATATGTTAGTCCTACCTCTGAAGCTTAAAGGGGAATTCAACAGCTTTTAAACAGAATCAGCATAATTAAATGGCTGAGATGTAAACAGAGTCGTTCAGAGTAGTTTGGTGTGAAACGCTCAGTTCTTAAGAAACTTACCGAGTCAGAATTGTTCATAGTGGTGGTGATAGGAACCAGACGTCTGAGGAGTTTAAAGGGCCTGTATCCCACATTGTTCTTGTATTTTACTTTTTCCCTTCATGTCCACTTATAACGTTTGTATGGTTTTATGTATAAAAAAATAGTCACAGTTCATTATTACATGCAGGGGCGGAGCCAGAAAGTTTACTATGGGGGTCCAGGTTGGACCCAGTATTTTTAGTGGGGTGGCAAATTACTTGGAAAAAAAACCAAAATGAAATAGCAGTTAATACTGTTCTTCTGTGCTTATATTAGGCCTTCATTACTAAAACAACTTTGTAACTAACTGGTTAATCTCAACTAAAACTAATTTGGTTTCAATTTTTGAAAAATATTGTTAATTTTGCTTCTTGCATCATTTCTACTGCTGAATACAGGATTCACTGGTTAAAATCATGTGATTCACTGCATGATGTGTAACAAAACCAAAATATTCTACTGTTCTGATGTAGACATTTATTTAGGTGTCTTTAATGATGTTATCCTAATGCAGAAGTCCAATGTTAGCTGCTTCATTAAGCAAAAAAAGGCTAATATTAAGATTTTGACCAGCGTTCACTCGTCTGTTTTCTCAGCAAAGTAGCCCAGCAGAGCAATGACCAGCTGATTATGGAGTTCAGTATCATCTGACCCTTATAACTTAACAGTATCAGCAGATTTTCACAGTAAAGTATAAACATTCACGAAGAGCAGGCAGGAGAACATTCCTCTGGTTACTGACTGCTTTATTAATATTGGTCACTGTGCATAACTGGGGTGGCCTAACCTCTTTAACCCTTAGATCAGGGGTCGGCAACATGTGGCTCTTTTACTGCCCTGTTGTGGCTCCACAGCAGAATCAGATTTGTAGGTAAAAATAAAATAATCCTCCTTTACAGTAAAATAAAGCTCTGCTGATCGTTCAACATAGTTTAACAATAAATGGTCTTAAACTCTGGAGTTAATGTAGAACTGCTAATTCACCCTTTAACCCTGAAGATCAGCGCAGACTGCTGGTCACCATAGCAACACAAACAACAGTCTCGCCTAGCTAGTAGCTAACGAAACGGCAAAGAGAGAGATTTAAGACGAACACCGATAATTTGGAGACGAATGGACTTATTTGTGTTTATAATCACTCCAGCTGGTTTCCTGATACGTTTAATCTGCAGCGAGAAACTGAAACACTAAAAAGTCACGAAGATGAAGTCAGATTCTTATTCGCCAGCTTCCTGTTCGAATTCTCCCGTTCCACCTTAAATGGTGCAGCAGTTAAGTCAGGCACCATTTATAGTGGAACAGGAAAGTTAAATATATATATTTAATTAATGGTTTCAAAATGTATATTAATGGTTTCTATATATATATATATATATATATATATATATATATATATATATATATATATATAGCTCCAAATTTAAAAGAAAAGTGAGGTATAAATGTATTTTTTAATCTGTGCATAGTGAAGAGACACATGCAGGGTGTTGTGAGGCAAAATAGTCCCCAAAGACAACAACTTATTCCAGATTTATCACCATTTTACCATCATCAACATTCCATATTAAACTCAGAAGACTCGTGTTGGTTCACTGGTGGTTCTGGATAGCAAATAAAATGTCTGTATTTGTGTTGCAGTCATGGTGACCCCTGGTTCCCATCACCACCACTGTAAAGAAATTTTGATTTCTTCACCAATTCTGGAGCTCACAAAGCGCTCTAAATGATTTTGTTTACATGTCAACCACTGAATTATGCAGAATTCTTTAAAATATGGCAGAATTCCCCTTTTAACTTGTGGTCAGATTATCAGTTTAAGTTAAAATGACCAGTTAGCCCCCCGTTTGCCATTTGTATAATATTTCTAATCTGGGATGAATGTGATATTCTTCAGATATGAGCCAGAAGGAACAGCAGCCCATCAGATTAAGCTCTGAGCATTCCTGAGTTATGTGGTGGGCGACTTTTTCCCTTTTGAGACCACCACAGCCTCCTCCCCAACCTGGTCCTCGATCAGCAGGGAGATGGCCCCGTCCAGCTGTCCTGTGGCGGCCAGCGCCACCACCGCTTTCTCCGTCGGGAAGCCCATCTTCTCCAGCTGCTGCAGCCTGGAAACAGAGACGGCACCCTTTAAAATAAAGCTTACAAATGGAACCAGAAAGGGTTCTATGGAGTGATATAAACACTCTTTATATCGTGAATGAGAAATGAGCAGAGCTAAACCGCTGTAGCCTGTATAGATGGATGTATGTAACATATATGCAATTATACAACAGTTAGTTCCAGCCACGCAAGCTAAATGGTTGAGAGGCGTTCTAACTGTGCTGTTATTTCACCATAACATCACGTTTTTTTTCACAATCACTGTATCACTCCACTGAGACACCGTTGCTAAGCAACGACTTTGACAGCTGTAGGAGACGCTCAAGCCATTTGAACGTTTTTTACTTCTTACTTTGCCACAAACAGAAAACGGACACTTTTAAGATCATATTTGACCGACAGCCGATTTGGTCCGACTCTGAAGATGAGACGACACTAAATTCCCAAACTGTCATCACCACTGAGCAGCTTTTCAGTCGGCAGCTGAGACAGAAGAACAGCTAAACAACCTGGAATCAGCCAGAAATTAACCCAACACCATTCGCCAAACTAAATGGGCTGTAAGATGCTTTACAGACTGGCTGGAACAAAACAACATTAATACTGATCTGGCAAAAACTGACAAAACTGAGCTGAACTTGATATTGCGGCAGTTTTATGGCTCAGTCTGATTTGGACTCTGAAGACGAGACTACACGTCTGGCGAATGGTATGTACTAAGCTCCCATTACTTGTAGCTCCAGGGCTATAACTAAAGAAGCAAAGGGGAAAACTGTGTAAATGTGATTTTTTTTCACTATACGTTTACTAAATTGAAACCAGAACCAGTATGTTTTCAGATTTCTAGGTGGACGTAACTGTGCTGTCCCTCTCTGGCAAACAACATATAAACATAAAACATTAATCCTAACATGCTAAACAATTCAGAAAGATTCGGAAGGCTAATAGCAGTAAGAATAAATAATAAAAGGCCTCTTTTAAAGATGTTTTTCTTCAGTATTGGCAGCATAAAGAGTCGTCCAGAAGGTAACTGCTTGTTTAAATTTACTTAAAGGGAAATTCCACCAGTTTAATTTTCTGCATAATTCACAATTTTGATGTAAACAGAGTCACTCAGAGTGGTTTGGTGTAGAGACTTTTTTCTTCACAGTGGTGGTGATAGGAACCAGGGGTCGCCATGACTACAACACAAATATAGACATTTACTATGCAAAACCACCAGTCAACCTACACGAGTCTTCTGAGTCTTCTTATATGGAAGGTTGATGATGTTAAATATGTAGAAAAAAGGAAGAATAAAACAATAAGTTTTCTTTGGGGACTATATTCCTTGTAATGCCTGGCGTGTAACCCTCCACCATGAATGGATTTCTAAAAAATATATCAGAATCTTCTCATAAAACAGTGTCGCAGTCATCAGGCAGTGAATTCATAACCATTTCATGTAGTAACTTTCTGTGAGGGAGCTTTTAGAGGTGGACGTCTGGTTCCTATCACCACCACTGTGAACAGTTCTGACTCGGTATGTTTCACACCAAACCACTCTGAATGACTCTGTTTACATCTCAACCACTTAATTACCCCGAAATTTAGAAAAATCAGTGGAGTTCCCCTTTAAATCTGTAACAAGTTAAATGCTCAGCCAAATTCCCTAAAGGCGGCGCTGTTTACAAAGCGGAGTGTGCTCACAACAGCCACTCCTTAACACTTTAACCGACTGATCGCCATTGTCTAACTATACATTACTCACTTATGAGGCACTGTAGACATTATCTAGGCTTCAAGAACCACTTTAGAGTAGTACAGGGTTCTATTATTAGTATAACTGAAGCACTGCATTTACATACAGCTCAAGATAAACACAGAGTAATTCAACGTGATAACGCCGCAGTCGTCAGCCAGCTATTCATTGCTCCTGAGTGTGGGAGGTGGAGGTCTAGCACCTTTTCAATTCAGAATATGCAAAGAACGGTGATACTAGACGGTTCTAGACACAGACAAGCAGATTCATACATACAACCTCAGATCTCTGCATTTTTTTCTCGCTTTAATTAAATATAAATGCTTGTTGTAGTACATAAATGTGGACTGGTGAGTGAATAATAAAAGCAGAGTCCATATCCACACTCTAAAAAGGTTTCTTTAGTAAAGATAATGGTTCTATTTAGAACCATGAGCTCTACTTAGAACATTTTGCATGCTTAAATGGTTCTTTGCACGGTGAAATGGATTTTCAGATTGATGGAGAATGTGCTGTACACTCTTGTGTGTCTAATGTGACTCAGATCTGATGTTTTCAGGGCTGTGTGGACACAAATCTGATCTTTTCAAATCTGACCTGAGCCTCTTTCATACGTGGTCCTAGATACGTATCCGATTTGTGGCCATGTGACCTTAATGTGACGTTCAGATCGGAATTCATGTGTTTTTTTTCTGTGCATGCACCATCATTCAGCGTTACCATGGCAGCAGCGCCGAACTGAAGCTAAAGCCTGTAAACGGTGGAAAAGCAGCTCATCTCACCTTTTTCTCCTTCGTCTCGCTCTAATAATGAAGCTGAGAGCTGATCAGAGTTAATGATCTTCTCAGCGAAGCTCGTTCTGCTCGTTAGTTTGTTGCTGATGATGAAGGTGATTCATTCACGTGACGTTACTGAGTAGGATGTGCTCATGCGGGACATTCTATATAGAACCTTTTTGAAAAGGGTTCTATATAGCACCAAAAAGGGTTCCACTACTGTTACAAGCCATAGAACCCTTTTTGCTAAGCAACTGCAAACATTAGAATGTTCATGTTTGTTTGTCCCATCAGTGCACTTTGGCCTTAAGCACAATACGGGATAGCCAATCAGAACAGAGTTCATTTACATATATCACTCTTAAAGGCACAGTAACAAAAACAGACTGCTTAATTCAAAGGCATAAAGAGAAAACGATCATTTAAAAATGAATCATGACTGTTTCTGGTACATTAATCCACACAAACACATGTGGGCCTTTTAAGATGTGACCTCGCTCACCTCAGCGAGGAAACCGAAGACTTGGGCACCTCCACTTTGTCTGCTGTGCCCTCGGGTGCATCCTGCAGCGACGCCAGTATCCCCGCCCTTAGCAACTGCTCCTCCAGCAGCTGCGCATCTGTTGCCATGACGGGCTCGCGGTGCCACTCTGGAGCAGGATGTCTCCATGGCTGCAGGAGAGAGTGATCCTCCAGCTGAGACCTGCTTGTAGATGCTACAAGTCCCAAATGAGAGGGCTCGAGGCGCGGTTCAGCTCTGAAACGAGAAACATGGATTTGAATGGCTGATTCCCAGTCTGACCATACGGAAACAAACATATAGGGACATTCCTTGTTTCTATGCTCATTGTCCATTTTATCAGCTCCACTTACTATATAGGTGCACTTTGTAGTTCTACAGTTACAGACTGTAGTCCATCTGTTTCTCTGCATACTTTGTTAGCCCCCTTTTACCCTGTTCTTTAGTGGTCAGGACCCCCATGGACCCTCACAGAGCAGGTACTATTTGGGTGGTGGGTCATTCTCAGCTGGAGTTTTTAAACACCTCAGTGTCACTGCTGGACTGAGAATAGTCCACCAACCAAAAATATCCAGCCAACAGCGTCCTGTGGGCAGCGTCCTGTGACCACTGATGAAAGACTAGAGGATGACCAACACAAACTGTGCAGCAGCAGATGAGCTATGGTCTCTGACTTTACATCTACAAGGTGGACTGACAAGGTAGGAGTGTCTAATTGAGTTGACAGTGAGTGGACACAGTGTTGAAAAACCCCAGCAGCACTGCTGTGTCTGATCTACTCAGACCAGCACAACACACACAACACACCACCACCATGTCAGTGTTACTGCAGTGCTGAGAATGATCCCACCACCCAAATAGTACCTGCTCTGTGAGGGTCCATGGGGGTCCTGACCACTGAAGAACAGGGTGAAAGGGGGCTAACAAAGTATCAGAGAAACAGATGGACTACAGTCTGTAACTGTAGAACTACAAAGTGCACCTATATAGTAAGTGGAGCTGATAAAATGGACAATGAGCGTAGAAACAAGGAGGTGGTCATAATGTTATGCCTGATTGGTGTATATTGCCATTAAATATTAACCAAATATATTTTAAAATAAGTTTATTTTACAATGTACTTGGAAAAATTAATGTGTTTATCAAATACATGTGAAAATGTATGAAAACAGTCAAAATCCTGTCTAATGCACTTTACTGTTTGGATACCTTTTGAAATGAAGTTACAAGATTGACACTGTAACAATAGAAGAACCCTTTTGGGTGCTATACAGAACCATATTCCAGAGGGTTCTATATAGAACCATGTACAGCACATTCTCCGTCAATCTAAAGGACACTTTAATAATGCAAAGAACCCTTTAATCGTGCAAAGGGTTCTTTGAGTATTCATGGTTCTATGTAGAACCATTTTCTTTGCTAGAGCACCCTTGGAGCACCACCTTATTTAAAAGTGTTCCGGAGACGTTTTGTGTATATAAAGTTGTATCCGAGTCAGATCTGTGTAGAATATAAGTATCTATTCAATATTATTTAAAATACGTGCAATATTACACCTATATGTTGCTGATAGACTGCAGGCCTGGCGTCACCTGTGTGTGGGGCTGATGTAGGTGGGCAGCTGATAGTTGGTTGACATGTGGGGGGCGACAGAAACGTAGGCCCAGGCTGGCAGACAGGCACACACACCAAGACCTTCTATCCGCTGCAGTATTCCTATGAACTCAGAGCTGTCTGAGAAGTGTGTTAAGGACTATCCTTACTGGGTCACAGTAACAGTTGTGGCACCTTGACACAGACCTTTTTCCCTTTAGTGCACTCTCAGAAATAAAGGTACTAAATCGTCACTGGGGTGGTACCGCTCTTGTCACTGGGGTGGAACCCTCAGTGGTACATCTCAGTACCTTTAGTCAGGGAACATAACTGAACCATAATCCACTGAAATGATATGTTCTAAGCTGTACTGACTCCACACACCCCGTCTCGTCTCCAGGCTTTTATTGTACTGTTCTGTTTTAAAACATTCGGTTATGAAAAGGTACAAATATGAACTTTTCACCTGGAAAAACTTATTTAAGGTTCACAATCAGACCTTAAAACCACTGTTGAACCTTTGAGGGAAAATTTTTATTGTTTGTACCTTGATGAATGAAAAATGTACCTGCACTGAACCTTTATATCTAACAGTGTAGACACTCTCATACAGATTGTCTTACAGAATATGCAGACAGCGGGACCCAAGCCCAGAGAATCTGGCAAGGATTTATGACCTATGGGACAAAAAAGTCCCAGTCAGGTATAGCTTGATCTAGTTAATATAAAAGGGTAGAACTAGAGAACAAATAAGTACTAAACAAATAACAGAGATCTGAAGCCCTCAGAGGCAAAGCCTGACCAGCCCTGGCAGAAGCCTCAGTTTGGGCAAATGATATCCAACTAGCAACTTGGTGGTGAGGTAAATGTGTATTTTTGTGACTGATTCCCATTTTAATTGCTTTATCCCCAAAGCAAGAAGCAACAAAATTCACTCTTTACCTGAAGCTCACACATTACGGGCTTTTGGCTAAAACGGAGGGGTACAAGCAGAGGTACTATAGGACCCAAAGAAAACGTATTACTTCAGATTTATCACTATTAAATCATCAGCATTCCATATAAGAGCTCAAAAGAGAGCAGCTTTTGATACCACAAGAGTCTAATCCATTGTTTTTAGTGTTGGGTTGGCCTCTCTGGCACAGTTTTAGAATGGCTTAAATCATATGGTTCATGGTTTCAAGGGAAATCATTCATCAGAAAATTTGGCAATTCTGTGGAGTCCCTCAAGGTTCAGTTTTAGGGCCTTTGCTTTTCTCTATTTTTGAAAAGATTGAAAATAAATGCATTAAAATACATTTTAAGCCATAACTTTATCACAAAACTATCATAAAATGATGTAATAACTTTCTGAGGGGGAGCTTTTTGAGGCGGATGTCTGGTTCCTATCACCACCACTGTGAACAATTCTGACTTGGTACATGGTTTACATCTCAACCATTGGATTATGCAGAAATTTAGAAAAAGCTGCATTCATTTCTGCCATAATAATGTTACAAACATTACCATTTGTTTAAAACGTTCAGTAACTCAGTGTATAACAGCACCCTCAGGGAGGGTAAAGGATACAGTTAAGGCCCAGGCAAATGGCATAGAAGTGCAGCAGCCCCGGAGCGCTGGGGAGCAGGAACAAATCTAGCAGTAAGAAGAGCCAAGGCAGTGACCACGGGGGCAAACAGCGGAGGACTCGTCTCTGCCTGGCCTGACGACACTGGGCAGTGAACAGAGCGAGCTGCGTGGCCGAAAAGCCGCAAACACGACTGGCTTCGTCCCCAGTCACGAAGAGGAAGAGGGCGTAAATAGGAGGCAGCAGTGCTGTTGAGAGCAGGGAGAGGATAACGAAGGCCAAGGTGCCCCATCGTCTCTCCTGAGATGGTCCAAGACACAGCAAGAGGGTGACGTTGTAGAAGAGAGACAGTAACTCCTCGTGACTTAAAGCGTAGAAGATAAAATCTGTGGGTATAGATGAGGAGAGTATTGCGTACAGTGCTCAAATTTGTGAATACAGAGAAAAGTACTTCAATTTGGCAATGAATAATTTCACAAGAAAAGTACTTGAAACAAGTAAAAAGGTCTAGAAATAGCTTGAAGAATCTTATAACGTGCTAAAGCAATCTCACAGAAAGAAATATTAGATATATTGACTAGATTTAAGGTTTATGCAGTAAAACAATCAAATCTGTAAGTAACATTCATATTAAAATTAAATACTTAATGTGTTTATCGTTCATTGTAGATGCTCTATAACCAACTAAATATTCATCGTCGTGGGTTAAAGGGCCATTCCGGCCTAAAATTAGCAATGAATGTTATTTACTCAGCTATGTAGTGTTCTGTAGTGCAACATTATATCATTGTATTATATATAATTATATTATTATATAACTTTATATATTATAATTTGCATTTTTGTGTCGTAAATATATCTCAAAAAATTACTGCAAGCTACACAATTCAAAAAGAGGTTCTGTAGTAAAGGTAATGGTTCTGTTTAGAATCACAAGTTCCATGTAGAACCATTTCATGCTTAAATCGTTCTTTGCATGGTGAAATGGTTCTTCAGATTGAGGGGGAATCTATTGTATAGGGTTCTATATAGAAGCTTTTTAAAAATGGTTTCTCAGGCACCCCTGAGAAAGGCTGCTATACAGCACCCAAAAGGCTTACAAGCTTGTAACAACAGCAGAACCCTGTTTGGTGCTGTATAGCAGCCTTTCTCAGGGGTGCCATCTAGCATGGTCAGGGGTGCTGTCTAAAATATTATGACATTGCTGACATTATAAAATGAATTAAAATCCCAACAAATGATAGTTATGCAACTTTTAACTGGGGTCAGTGTATGACCATGTAAAGGCTAACATAAAATAGCCTTTGACATAAATTTTCATTACTGTACAATGCATTACAAGAGTGTTACGTGAAGCAAACAAACAAGCATGGAACAGTTTTCGAAAAAGAAATCCAGAATCAGATTACTCTGAATCTGAGCCACCAACTTCATCATCAAGTGGTAGCTGAGCAGCCGTATGTATATGTGTATGTATATATGTGTGTGCTGTGTGTGTGTGTGTGTGTGTGTGTGCGTGTGTGTGTGTATTGGCTGTCAGAAGGATGAAGAGTGTTTATATTTCATACATTTTAGACAGGGGTGACTTGAGACCCTTTTCAAAAAGGGTTCTCTATAAAACCATATACAGCTCATTCTCCATCAATCTCAAGAACCATTTCACCATGCAAAGAACTATTTAAGCATGAAATGGATCTAAACAGAACCATTGGAGAAACCATCTCAAGACTCAAAGGTGTAGCTCTAACCTCAAATTTATGTTTGAAGCCAGTTAGCGAAAACAAAAACAAGTCTCCACCCAAAGCATTTGCAGTTTTTTTTTGGCAAAATTCACTTCCACCTTCGAGATACATCATCAGAGGGGGTGTTTTTTATTCAGTACACCAGGAAATCTTGCTTTAGAGGCTACTGCTGCACAGCTAAGAGGCAAGCAGGCATGTTTACAGCAGGTGCAGCAAGGGTGTAAATGTTTAATTTTTGGCCGGAGTGTCCCTTTAAATATCCATGAACTGCTTACCATAGAATCCAGGGAATTCCCCTCCTGGTCCCAAACTCAGGCTTGTGTGAATCCCACATAGCCAAACCAGCAGAATGAGCAGCAGCGTGAGGGCGGTGCCACTACAGAAACCGGGACGAGTGGATCCAAACCAGAACCATGCCGAGAAAGGATGCTCCAACATCTCAGACCATCTGCTGCGATCACACGTCCATCTGACTCACTGCGATCAGCACAAAGTCTGTTTATTCACACAAACTCGAGTCAGAGGTCTGATTAAACACTCTTTCTGCAGCCCAGCCTTGACAGAGCGCATCTACTTCAAAACCTACAACGCATATAAGCACACTGAGTCAATGAAAGCAAGTGCAAACATTATAAAACACATTATTTTGTCATTTATTTTTTAAAATAATCCAAAATTATCCGAAGACCGGAAACGTAAACAGCGTTTTGACCTCACGAAAGTCTCCTGTTGGGAAGTACCATTTTGTGAACGCTCTCTAATTGGGAAAAATGAGTACATGCATCGCACATAAGCAATCATATGCTTATATTAAACAAAATTAATCATATATGAGTAATGTACAACAAACACATAAGGATGTAATGTACTTTGTGTGTTTTTTGCCACCCCCGCCCCCCCCCGGACACACGGCGTTGGTATATCTTAAGCGGCAACAAAGCGCGCATGAGCAGTTCGACCAAACGGCAGAGAGAGATGGCGTCGACAACGAGTGAGTAAAATGAAAAATATGCGCGATTTTGTCGGTTTTTGCTTTAAAGGTTGTTTTGAAAGCAGCTTTAGTATTCTGGGGCAAATGTAGATGTGGAATGTGCCTGTTTAATCGGCATTTATCCAAGAAATAAGCTCAGTTTCCGCGGTTTGTCGAGGTCGGCCCTGTCGGTTGGCGGTTCGCTGCTGTTGGGTTTAGCTGCGCTAGTTAGCACGACGGCTAACGCCACCTTACAGTAGTTAAATTGTTCCTATTTTCGTGTGGAAAAGGATCTAAATTAGAGTTTTAGAGATTATGAAAATGTTCGCATAGGTTCACGTAACTAAAGCTATCACGCGTGATACTCGCTTTTCGAATTTTCCCGTTCCACCTTAAATGATGCCGCGGTTCCACGCTGCCGGCTGACGCGCCTGAATGCAGTTGCTGCGCCATTTAAGGTGGAACGGGAAATCTTTTTAAACAAGGCGCTGCCTTCGGCTTCGTTGAGGCTTCTGAGGTGCACGTTTCGATGGAAACTCTTTATCTGTGTGCTCTTGGATTTTACATGTAACTACGGTTATGTTAACATCGCTTTAACCTTAAAACTCGGCGCTTTATTCAAACCCTAAACGCAGCCCAGAGGCTACAAAGCTAACGCTAACTATAGGTCTAATGCTAACCCGCGTTTGAATCCAGACGTTTCGAGAGTAAGTTGAATTCCTTCAGCATTTGTGGTTAATTTAAAGAGAAATTCCACCAATATTTTAAAATTTAGTAATAATTCAGCCCTTGCGTTGTAAACAGAGTGATTCAGAGTGGTTTGGTGTGAAATGGTTCTGGTTTCTTTACAGTGGTGGTGATAGGAACCAGGGGTCGCCATGACTACAACACAATTATAGACATTTTATTTACTATCAAAACCACCAGTGAACCTACACGAGTCTTCTGAGTCTTTGTGTGTAATGTTGATTTGTAAAATAGTGGAAAATCTCACAATACCCAGAGTGTATTCCTCCACAATGTAAGGATTCAAATACATGTTAAGCCAAACCTTCATCACACAACTATCATAAGTGTATCAGATGTCCGACGTAATATATCTGACCATTTCGTGTAGTAACTTTCTATGAGGGAGCTTTTAGAGGTGGACGTCTGGTTCCTATCACCACCACTGTGAACAATTGATTCGGTAAGTTTCTCTAGAACAGAGCATTTCGCACCAAACCACTCTGAACGACTCTGTTTACGTATTAACTGTGTAATTATGCGAGTCATTTTGGATTTTTAGATGTAACTGCAGTTTAATTTAATGTTAACCTCGCTTTAACCTTAAAACTTAGTTTTATTCAATCCCTAAACGAAACCCAGAGGCTACAAGGCTAACGCTAACTCTGCTAACCGTCGTTTGAACCCTAATTCTTTGAGGATACCCTGAGTTACGTCAGCATTTGTGGTTAATTTTATAGGGAAATTCCACCTTTTTTTCCCCGAAATTTTGGAATATTTCACTCCTTTTAGATGTAAACAAAGTCAGTGGTTTGGTGTGAAATGCTTGATGTCTTTACAGTGGTGGTGATAGGAACCAGGGGTCACCATGACTACAACACAAATATAGACATTTTATTTACTATCAAAATCACCAGTGAACCAACACGAGTCTGATTTGTCTTTGTACGTAATCTGAGTTTTCTTTGGGGACTATTTTGTCTCAACACCCTGCATGTATCCCTCCACCATGAATGGGTTAAAATACATGTTAAGCCAAACTTTTATCATAAAACTATCATAAGTGTATCAAATGTCGGACATATTATATCTGATCACTTAATATAATAACTTTCTGTGAGGGAGCTTTTAGAGGTGGATGTCTGGTTCCTATCACCACCACTGTGAACAGTTCTGACTCTGTATGTGTCTGTAGAATGGAGCATTTCACACCAAACCTCTCTGAACATCTCTGTTTACATCTCAACCATTGAATTATGCAGGAATGTTGAAAAATTGGTGGAGTTCCCCTTTAAATGGGCCTAGTCAAATAAAGTGGGGCCGTTATAGTTTAACGTTAGATGCAAAGTGTTTGAGCTCCTGGGTGAGTATTTTAGATTAGGTCTGATAGCTGTGCAGGCCATTGAGTTAAAAGCTTTTGAGTCTTCCTAAATGATGGGTTATTATTGTGTGCGTAGCTGATAATCTGCAGAGTGTGGAAGCCCAGATAGAGGAGAAACTTATTTTTCCTTTTTCCCTCCTAAATATGACTAAAGGTCTTAAATCCATTCCTCTCTTTGTCCTCAAGATGGTGCTCAAAAGGTGTTTTCCTTTTCTGAGTGCTGCTTCTCTGCACTGTAAGAATCCTGCAAACCCGGCATAGCTTGGTTTGATTGGGCTGTCTGGTTCTTTTTTTTTTTCCCTTGTTAATATATGTAAAACTAACTTTTTGGGTTTTTTGCAGCTTATCAATTCTGTTTAATCATCTAAATCATGGCGCCTATATCAGAATACCAGTATAGACAGTATATGCCCAGTACTGTCTGAGGTGTCACAGCTATTTAATATTAAAAATTGAATAAATTTGTACGGTTCGGCGGCAGTTTTCATCCTTATCCACAGCTAAAGACTGAAGAGTATGGTTATAATGACAGTCCTTAAAGGGCCCTTATCATGGAAAAGCTCATTTTAATTAAGAGACTGATGTAGTAAATGTAGTTAGTTTCAAAATATATCATTCACTCCACTCTTTTCAGTCTATATAAGGAAGCTGACCTGCAGAAACAGCCTGCTTTGAGTTTACTGTTGCTGTAATGTTACTCTTCCATTCATCCACCTATTCAGCCTACAGCAGTTTGGCCCAGCCATTCACATTCAAAAAAATAGTTTTTTGTGATGTGGGCCCATTAAATGTAGGTGTTTTTGGAGAAATGGTCACAACTTCTCATGGAGACCTCTACTTTGTTCTGCTCCGCTAAACCGCTGGCCTCGTTGTTGATGTAAGGCTTTATTTCTTTACAAACCTGGGTGAATAGATGGAATGCAAATGTTGGTTTAAGTCCACTGTCAGAGAAAGACCTGCCTTTGTCTGATCTGTGGTTTACACTGTTGTGCCTCCACATTAGTATGGTTTATTTACAGTATTTGGTATTTATTTTTTAGATAGTTTTTTTTAAAGTGATTTGGCAAAAAATCTAATTTACTGTTTTTACACATGCCTGAGATATTCGGTCAGCTGTGTTTGATGTCTGTATTTAGTCTGATGTCTATATTTGAGCTGAAGCCCAAATATTTCCTCTAAATACATCCCCAGACGTTCTCTCAGCCACTTGTCAACATGGTTTAGGGTACTTGACAGAACTTGAAGTGGGGATGTCGGAACATTCGAATGGTGAAGTAGTCATGAGTTTAAAAATCGAGTAGTAAATTAGCATAATCAATATGCAAATGAGCTTGTCACTAGTTACGTTCTCATAAGAACCACCAGAGGGCAGCGCAGAGCCCACGTCTTACCTTGTAAGCAGAGTTTCATCAGTTTAATCCACAGAAAGAAGCATAAAGCCTTATTTTTGAAATTGAAGTGGAGAACTATGCAAATTACTTTTTGTCCGATCACTTCTTTAACATTTTGTGACTCTAAAATGTCTCAAGTGTGTGTGGTCACTGTCAGAACAAAACCTTGTATATCTATTTTGTTTGTTTGTTTTTTTTTATATATATATAGTTTGAAAACACTGTATGGCCTTTATATTGTATGTCCACATCTTGTGGTGATTGAATGAATAAAAATGATTAATTACATGAATTTCCATTACAAAGTAAGATTTTCAGACTTTCTGAATGACTGCCTGTAACAAAATAAACCCAAAGATTGGTTGCAAAAACTGATTCATGTTCCCTTTTTCTTTTATTTCATAGATTACACTGGCTACACCCAGGCCAGTGCCCAACAAGCGTAAGTCACTTTACTTTTCCTGTCTCTGCATAAATGTTACCTAATGCTTTCCTGAAGTCCCCCAGCGCTGCATGTTTTAGTGTTTTACCTGTTAGCATTGATAAAGTTCATAAACCCGTTCTTCTTGAGTGGCTTATACACCTAATGTGGCATGTTTTGATTGGGCTAGGTCCTTCTGGTGTTTCCCTCTTGAAATAAAAGTATTTTTAACCTCTTATTCTCCAGGGTATGTTTTGGTTTGTCCAGCTGAATTTACATGACCAAATCGTAAGGCAAATTATTCAGTAACTGCATGAAATAAATGCAGATTTTATTTTCTTTATTTTTTGTAAAAGCTCCCCTCAAATTAACAGAACATGTATTTTATGATACACATATTGCTGTATGCTTACAATTTACTGCTGAAAACCAAAAATCTTAGACGCTCTTTGTATTATTTTATAAAAATAATGTTTACAGAGCAGATCACTGAAGAGACGCCGTCTGTTTATAGCCTAGATTTGTGGAAAAATGTGTCGACTTTCAGTAGACAAAAAAATTTGAGCTCAGCTTCCTTTATTATAAGGGTTTAAAATTACATCACCCATCTATTTGACTGGAAAGAAGACAGTTACAGCTCTCATACGACCCCACACCTTTAGAATGTAGCTTATGAAATATGAAGGTGACGAAGAATATGACGAAGTGTGTTTTGGAACCCCCGGTGGTCTCCAGGAGTTGAAGAGGTTAAAAATAAAACAGACAGAAGGTCCAGAGGAGAAACTTACTATTTTAATTTTGTGTATTTAAAACTATTTTATGTATGTCAACACCAGTGAAAAATTTTTATTTAAAAAAAAAAAAAGACTGAAGCTGCTTTAGTGAGTAGGTTTTGTGTTTACGTTACAGGTACGGCTCATATGCTGCTCAACCTGCTCAGGGATACGGGCAAACGGCACAGGTACGTTTGAACACTGCTAC